CATCCTGGTCCACTGCCACTCTAGCTGACAGAGGTGGGGGGGGGGGGTGAGATAAATAGAACACATCTGGAGCACATCTGCCCAAAGGCTCTGACATTCTGGGTTAGTAGTGACACGACCCAGGATTCTAGCTGTGGCCAAGGGCAACTAAGAGAGGCGTTTGACTTCTTCGAGCCAGTTGCCTCATCTGTAATGTTGGAGCTTAGGAGAACCCCAAACTCTTGTGACACGGTTAAGTCCACATACACTGAATTCTTTCCTCCTTGGGGACGTAGTTGCCTTGTATGAACAAGGTCTTAGGTTCCATTCCTGGCAGCTCAAACAAAACCTAGTATCTATGAAGCTACTTCGCTAAGAGTTCAGACCAGAAAAGAGGTGGCGTGGATTTGGTAGGGTCACCTTGGGGTCATCTAGCTGTGTTATGACTGGGGTGGTGTTGACAGCAAAAGATTGGAAAGCCTTCACAGCACATTTTCCTAAACACTCCGTCCTCTCCTAAACAGGAAGTGGCCCTGAGTGCTGCGTTCCCGTAAATAATTGAGGTAAAGCAACAAACAAGCACGCATCTGAAGTTGTTCTATCCAGCTAGGAGTTGGGGGGGGGGGGGTTGGAAGGCGGTTGGGGAAGGGGGCAAGTACAAATATTTACTAGTGTGAGCAGGTGATAGCCCTCTTGTACTGAAAGCAACTCTTGTTTCCATGGTAATCCAAGCTTCCACTATTGTAATGGAAGATATCAGAAATCTATAATTAGCCCCCCCCCCAACAGCATGATTTTGTACATTCCCCAAAGAGAACATTCTAGGGGCCCCGGACCTATGTCCTGATTTCTCTAGGCAGCAGGCCCATTCGGCGTGACCTTGTGCTCAGAAGTGACTGTAGCCATCCACTGCAGTTAGTTCTGCGACAACACTGTGTTGTGAAGGAGCTGGCCCTGACATGCTGGAGACGGAAGGTGCAGCATTGCCCATGGCAGAAGACTGGCCTGGGTAAACAGTGAGCTGGCCAGCCAATAGCACACCATGCTTGTCCTCCATCTCTCTGCTGCTCTCTGCACGAGTTGCTCTCTCAGTTGGGTGCCGCAGACACAACGTAGGTCATTGACACTATTAACTCCAGGCTCAAATTTTACAGCCTGTGACCACTGACACATCCTCAGGATCTGCCCAGCCTGGGCTACGTATCTACTACTATGGCGTCGTGAGGAGCATCTCTTACCTGAAGAAGCAAGAGAGGTGTGCTAGCTAGTTAAGTCTTCTGTTTCCACAACAAGATATCCGCAAGAATCAACGCACAAAGAAATAAAGGTCATTTGGGGTCACAGTTTTGGAAATGCACATCCTGGAAAGCATGGTGGAGCAAAAACTTCTAGGTCCCAAGTCAAGAAGCCAAGAAGATGGAGTTGGCACAGCCCCACTGAGTGCTCACGGACCTGGGAACCTCCCACTAGGACTCATCTGCCACCGGCCCACCCCCTCACCATAGTTCCAGCTTATGGACCAAGCTTTTAGCACAGAAGCTGTTGGGGGATATTTCAGACGCAAACTATAGCTGTCGAAAATGGCGCCCTCTTCCTAGCGCGTTGTGAAATGAACAGGCCTCGTGGACACGCTGCCCTTCCTCTCCGTGCCAAGATTCTCTGTCCCCAAGAGTAGGGTGGGAATTCTGTATTCCCAAAGCAAATATGAAACAAACCAGGTTTTCGGAATCACAGAACTAGAGAAAGAAAGTCTTTCGTTTGGTCTAGCTTATTATTTTACAGTTTTATTTCTCTGGACTCATATACTCAACCAACCAGCGTTATAACTGAGGCAGGATTCCAGCCCTCTTCCTAGCGCGTTGTGAAATGAGCCGTATGGCTAATTAAATCAAACCAGATGAAGCTAAGCTTTGCCATGAAGGCAGAGATACTGTGTGCGTGAAGAAGGCTTAGATGCCGACACTCCACGAGGTGGGTAGAAGCGCCTTTGCCAGTCTGTGTCGCCCTCATTTCATAGCAAAGCGGTTCTGGTGTCTGCGGACCCTTCCGGTGAACTTCTCGGACAGAGGTCAGTTTCCACAGCTCTTGTCAGGTTTCCGCTCCCCACTGCCCAACTGTGTGCTTTTCCAGGACGTCACAGACACTCTCAGGAGCACTCCGTGGGCGGGCGAATCTCCTGTAAATAGTTGGGCTTTTCAGAACCCTGACAAGCTGCTCTACTTTGCGATTTCTGATTTCTGAAACAGCCTCATCTGCCTCTGTATTCAAGCCACACCGTGGGCCCCCTTTCCAGGTGCGATCTTCTGTGTTATCTTTGCACCCTACTGGTTGAGGTCAGGGATCTCCTCCAAGCGCACCAGCAGGGAGTCAATCCCTCTCCTTACCCTCGGGCACCCCGCTGACTGCTGAGGGCCAAGGTGTGTGCATCAGGACAGGTGGCTGACAGATTTTCTGGTAAAGAGCTAGGTGGTATTTCAGGCACAGAGGCTGCACAAGCGCCATCATAGTTCTGTCCCTGTCATCTTCCATGGTGTTTGTCTGGAATGTTTTCTCAAAGGCCTGTGTGCTAAAGCCTTGGTCCCTGGCAAGATTCTTCAAAGTAGAGTCTAGTGGGAGGAATTAGGTCACCCACAGTGTGTTCTTTTTTTTTTTCTTCCACAGTGTATTCTTGAAGGAGGTTTTCGTACCCTGACCTCTCCCCTCCCCTCCCCTCCCCTCCCCTCTCCTCTCCTCTCTTCTCCTCTCCTCCCCTCCTCTTCCTTATCCTTCTTTCCCCCCTCTCCTTCCCCCCTCTCTTCTCTACCTTCTTTTTTCTCTCCTTTCCTCTCCTTTCCTCTCCTTCCCTCTTCTTTTCCCTCCCCTTTTATTCCTTGTCCTCTCCTCCTTTCCTTTCCTCTTCCCTCTTTTCCCCTCCTTTCTCTTCTCCTGTCTTCCTCCTTCTTTTCCCCTTCCCTTCTTTTCTCTCCCCCTCCTTTCCTTCTTTTTCTTGTTGTGCTGCTCTGAGGGTAAATTGTTTCCACTGACACACGGTCCTATCATGATGGTCTGCGCTGCCACAGGCCCAAAGAACTGTGGCCAAGAAATGAGAGGCTGAAACCATGAGTCCTAATAAATCTTTCCTTGGGATAAATTGTGCATCTTAGGTATTCTTCACTGAGAAAAAGCTGCTGACATACCAGTCTGGTATGAAACCAGCCTTCTACAAAATATAATTCAATGAGTGTGGCTGTGTTTTGATAAAACTCTATTTGGAAAATCAGGCAGCAAGCTGGCCATTGTGATGCAAACACGCCTTTAATCCCAGCGCTTGGGAGGCAGAGGCAGGCGGGTCTCTGTGAGTCTAAGGCCAGCCTGGTCTACAGAGCAAAGTCTAGGACAGTCGGGGCTACATAGTGAGATCCTTTCTCAAACAAACAAGCAACAAACAACAAAAACAAAACAAACTAACAAAAATGATCAGGTGGTGATTGCACTTGACCTAAGCTCCACCCTAGAAGATGTTCAGGAGAGAAATGAGTACTGAGTACAGAGAAAGGACACCGCTTCAGAGTGCTGTCGAAAATGGCATTTAATCTAACTTAGAGTTCCGTGGTAGTGAGACACATCGCTCCTGGCAACACCGATCTATTCCTGAGAGAATGTTGAGCACCAAGGACACTCCACCTGGAACTTTTTTTCTTGGCAGAACTGGCCTTTGGGCAAAGAAATGCCCTTACCTCAACCACTGACAGAGATGCATAGTATCCGTAAATGGTTAAAACAGGACTGCCATATCCTGCCAAGACAGGGTAAGATAGTTTTGAAAAGTTTCTTACCTTTGAAAATGGTATGTCAGTTATGTTAGGCCTTAGCCAAAGTTGGTTGCTTCAACATTGCAAATGAGACTTTGGGTGATTGCCCAGGTAGTCAGTTGTCTCTGTCATTTGTTGCACATTTTGGAAGTTTGTCGATAGCACTTCCTATTCACTCAAGTAATATTGTTTCCCTTCTTAGATCTTTGATGGAGTTGAAGATTAGATAATTATAGTTACCTTCCTCATGATTTAGCCAAGCTTAATTTCATTGCAATAGTTAGACTCCTTGAAATAGAATGCTTAGTAAAACTTTTGTTATGTGTTCCTTGCTTAATATTGTTTATTGTTTGTAATTTTATATTTGGTATCTATTCCTATTGTATATAGTTGTATTGGGTTTGGATAGATATTGTTTAGACAAAAGGGGGAGATGATGGGAAAACTCTATCAACCAATCACATCTAGTTAGGGTGTGGCTACCTGGGGCCCAGGTAGAAAAACTGGAAGGACTCAGGTGCACTCTCTCTCTCTCTACGCGGTGCCCTCCAGACATATAGGAAGTCCGACCTCCCACTCTTGTAGTGTGAGTTTTTCTCCCTTATACCTGTTAAAATACAATTGTTATTCTTGAGCTGGCCTAGTTATTTATCGTACCTACCTAGTTCGCAACACAATACAACTTTGAGGAACACTGGAGATTTGGTTTGGCACTTGTATGCAGAAAAAAAATCAAAAATACTCTTTTGGTGGGGACAGGGAACTTAACACAGGCTAGCCTTGAACTCACTGTGACACTGAGGACCTTGAATCTCTGATGTTCTTACTGCTGCCATTTCCTGAGAGTTGGGTTTGTGGGTCTATGTCACTGTGTCTGGCATATATGGTACTGGGGACTGAACCCAGGGCCTTGTACATTCTGGGTAAACACCCCATCAACTGAGCCACATTACCAGGCCTGCTCTTTAGAAATGTGGAAATCCAGGTCTATTCCAAGTCCAGAAAACATTTGCGGCGCCTTCCGATCATGCTCCCACGGAAGTGTCTCTAGACTAATCTGTCCATCCCTGGTGCTAGCGGTAACCATACAGGACAGGTCCCTGGCAGCCTCGAAGGTTGGGTTGGGTAGGTGAGAAGGAAGTACAGATGGGAAAATGGTTAATGACACATGGGAGGTGAGAGCCAAGCGTCCTGGCTGTGGAATTCCCGTCTTACACAGCTGTGCCTATTCTGGGCCCTGTTTCGTAATTCCTTCGCCAAGCCTTTTGAGGTTGAGAAGGTAAGGAGACCTTCCCGGGCCACGTGGTCAGTAAAGAGGCAAGTAATTGTGAGGAAATAGAAATGCATAAACCCAGGGCCATGCCCCTTGTGCTCCAGGAAGGAGCACACTCCCCACCACCAGGCCTTTCCCTCCAGCCCTCTCTTGCCACAGCAGGCAGACACGCTATAATTCCAGCCAGGGTAGGTCAGCTTCAGAGGCAAACACTGCAGCTACAGGCAGGATAGTTGGTACCAGGGTGGCCTGCAGAGAGACACAGGCTGTGGAACAGGTTTCCTGTTGGTGAAATAGGATCCACACGCACTTTGAAGAAAGCCGTTGAGAACTAGAGGAAGAATATGTATTAAGCCTGCGTACAGTCTGTCACGCACATACAGGAGGCTCAAAGGTTAACAGTTATCAAGCAGGACGTAATGGCACACGCCAGTAATCCTGGCACCTGAGAGGGTGAGACAGGAAGAGTTCAAGGTCGATGGGGCTATGTGCTGAGGCTGTTAGTACGCGTGTGCGTGTGCGTGTGCGTGTGCGTGTGTGTGTGTGTGTGTGTGTGTTTAAGTAGCTTCATTCCTCAGAGAGTCGTTCTGGGTTGGGGCGTCTTAGAGCACTTACATAACAAGTGTTAGGCCCTGGAATTTGGGGTGTCGATTCCCTTTAATTTTCAGTGTGTTGTATTAGGATTATATATGTGCATTGCCTCACACCTGGCCAAGACCCTGGGTTTGACAACTAGCACTCAACAGAAGGGGAGGTAAGAGGAGAGGGGGGGAAGGCGAGGAGGGGGCAGGAGGGGGAAGGGAAGAGAGGGAGAAGGGAAATGGGGAGGAGAATTGTTCCTAATGATGCCTTCTTCATATTGCTTCCTGCCCTCAAGGCCTTGTGACCCTCAGCCTCCAGGGCAGAGTGTGCAAACTCATTAGAACTTAATTCTTCATTACCCTCTGTCTTTTCTTCTGTTTTTTTCTCCTCCTTTTTCTGATCTTTCTGAGGTTGAAACTTCAGGGTCTTGTACTTGCTTGGTAAACACTACCACCGAACAAACCCCCAGATCTCTAATTTCTCTTCTGAATGTCTTTTACCTTTTGATCTCTAATTTACATAAATATTATTCTACAAACATATAAGTAAGTCTGGTGTCTTTAGAGTATTGGTTAATTATGAGAACAAAGCTGCTTAACTTTTGTATTTTAGTCATTTACAAAGAATATTTCATGTATGACAAAAGCTATTTCTTCCTTTTAATGAAGTAACCTTAAGGAGGCTGGTGTATTTCAGAAGTAGGCATATACTTAGCACACAAGGTTCTGAGCTCAAACCCCAAAAACACATCCTGAACTACCCTTCAGCTGTGTCTTAGCCAGGGTCACTATTGCTGTGATGGATCACCGTGACCAAAAAGCAAGGTGGGGAGGAAAGGGTTTATTTGGCTTACACTTCCACATCATGTTCATCACTGGAAGAAGTCAGGACAAAACTCAAACAGGGCAGGAGTCTGGAGGCAGGAGCTGATACAGATGCCGTGGAGAGAGCTGCTGACTGGCTTGCTCCTCGTGGGTTGTTCTCCCTGCTTTCTTAGAGAACCCAGGACCACCAGCCCAGGGGTCCTCCCCCATCAATCCCTAATTGAGAAAATGCCATACAGGCTTGCCTACAGTGCATCCTATGGAGGCATCTTTTCAATAGAGGTTTCCTCCTCTCAGATGGCTTTAGATTGTGTCAAGTTGACATAAAAGTAGCCAGGACAAACCTGTCTCTGCAGCAGGTCGTTGTTGCTGTGGTTTAACCGAAATCCCACTTACACCAGCATCCCCAGGCAAAGGCCGCTTCTTCCGTGCTAACAAATCCTCTCACAATTTTGCAACACAGATGACTTCACCCCATTAATTGCTCATGAACTGTTCATTGATTCATGGGATTACAAACTGATAAGACATTGGAACATAGTTCTGGCTAACTTCTTATGCAAGAGACTACGTTTTTATTTTTGGTAATAATTATCATTATTCTGATTATCGTTTCCTGATAACGCTTTTACTCCCACCCCGATGTCTTTACACCAATGGTTACACGTGAACATTTTGGGAAATGTTAAACAGCTTAATCAAATCAAGAAGAATGGAAGTGAGTTCAGAATGAATGACTGGAAGTGGGTTCCCTCACGCCAACGGTTCCATCTGGTTGCGGGCCTCTGACGCAGCCGTCTGCTGAGGTGGCCTGGAGAGAACTTTGCACACCGTCTTATTGTCGGATCTTCCTTCTTTCCCCGTGAGCACTCTCGTAGTGTGTGTGGTCAGTTTCCACTCTGAACCTGTGACTGTTCATTAGCTGTCCTGGGGTTTGCTCTTCTAGCAAGCTCAGGCCTTGCTGACACAGGGGGTAAATACGCTGGGTTTTACAGGACAGTATTAATTATAAAACAGGCACTCAGGATTATCGGCAGATACATTATTGCACATAACCCATCAATAGCAATCTTTTCTATTAAGTGTATTAATATGCAAATTAATGAGATTCATTACATTTTCATATATGAACATAGCACAGGTTGACCAAATCCCACATTCTAGCTGGGAATGGTGGTGTACACTTAAGATCCACATTCTCGGGAGACTGAGTGAAAGACTACTCCAAGTGGAAGTCTAGCCTGGGCTACACGAGCCCTTGTCTCAATAAACAAACAATCAGAACAATCAAAGCACCACCAACAAACCTAACCTCTACCTTTACACATAAATCCTTGTCTTTCTGTAGCGGTTTATTTCCCTTACTGCATTCCAGGATCCATCTATTTTACCTTAAATGTTAGAATGCCATTCTTCTCTATGATTGAATCATATTCCATTGTACATATAGAACATAGTTTTTTTCATGTATCTTCTGATGGAAACCACTAATAACAGAATAACAATTCTCCAACAAGAAACTGTTTTGGGTTAATTTAAGACTAAACATGAAAATTGCTTAGTTCTTTTCAGAGCTTAAATTTATGAGTTTTCTTTTTTAAATGATTTATTTATTTATTTTCATGAGCTATAAACTTATCTTTTAGTTTCATAAGCGTGTTACTCAGGGTTCTCCCGAGGAACAGAACTTATAGAATAAATTGCTCTTTCTATAGAGAGTGAATTTATTAAAATGAATTACAGACTGTGGTCCAGCTAATCCAACAATGGCTGGCTTTGAATGGAAGCCCAAGAATCCAGGAGTTGCTCAGTCTACAAAGCTGGATGTCCCAGCTGGCCTTCCGTACATGCTGGGAGCCCAGAGAAGGAGGCTCTAATGCCAGGGAAGTGAGGGTAAGCAGACAAAGAGCAAAAGCTTCCTCCTTCCATGTCCTTAAATAGTCTTCCAGCCAAAGGTGTGGCCCAGGTTAGAGGTGGGTTTTCCCAGCTCAAAAGTTCTGGATTAAAGTTGTGTCTTCTTTCCTCAAAGATTCAGATTAGAAGTGAATCTCCCCACTTCAAACTAAGCAAAAATCTCTCACAGGTGTGCCTTCCAATTTGGGGTTTTAGTTAATTCCAGATGTTGTCAAGTTGACAACCAAGAATAACCAACAGGAGTTCTGAGGTTAGACCAAAGTTAAGTGGTGTCAAGAGACCAAGCACACAAATCTGAGCAGTCTGAACTGTAGAGTTCTCCCCAAGACTGTCAAGGTCCCCGAGGGAAGAGAGGCAGGGCATAAGTACTGCTAGGCTGTACATGCAGAAGGGGATTGAATAAACAATTTCAGGGTGGTGAAGACTGTCAAAGATGCACCTGAGTTTGTGGGTTTCGAACATGAACTGTTCAGTGTTGTGTTGGTCAGCTTTACATCACTGTCACAAACACCTGTGATTATCAATGAAGACAGGGAAGGTATATGGCCACTCATGATTTGAAGTTTAGTGCAGCTCCCTTGGGTCATGGAAGGGAACATGCTTTCCTCATGGCCAGAAACACCAAAGAAGAGAGGAAGAGGACAAAGTTTTACATCCTTATCTGAAGGCAGCAGGCAGAATGAGAGAGAGACACTGAGCCTAGCTTGAGCTTTGGAAATCTCAAAACCCACCCCCAGTGACACATTTCCTCCAACAAGGCCACACCTCCCCCAACAAGGCCACACCTTCTAATACTTCTCAAACACTTCCACTAACTGAAAACCAACCATTCAAACATGAGTCTATGTGGGCCATTCTCATTTACGCCCCCACTGGTGGGCTTGGGTTACCACCTTTCAACTCTCCAAGACTCAAAAAGCTTACTCATCAAGGAATGGAGGCCACACACTTAATTTGAGGACCATAACAGCAGAGCCAAGCGTACTACCTAGGTTCCTGGGTCTATAATAACCCAACTTGGATACAACCCAAATTAAATCAGGAAGTTTTATATGCTACCTCTCAGTTAAAGCATAAAACAATATAATTTATATATATTTAAACACAAGCTTAAACTTTTATAGCATACTTTCTGACTTAGTGGCTTAATAGTTAGCCTTTGAGTACAGGATAGCTGGTGCTCTTGTAGATACTGTAGAAACTGAAGAAGGTAATAGAAAGAATGGAGCCAGGTTATTCAGCGTGTTGGGAGAGCGTGTAGTAAGTGAATGGAGTTGGTTTTATTTCACATTTATCTATGGTTTATACCTAGTATGTGTATATCCTGTGCTATTGTGATGGGTAGTCTTGGTTGTCAACTTCACTAGACCTTAGAATTAGGAGACATGCACACACACACACACACACACACACACACATATACATATACATATATATATATATATATATATATATATATATATATATATATAATATACAGTTAGCTCTTGGAAGGACTAACTACGGGGGTGAATGTCCCAGTTAGGTTTGTTGTTTCTGTTCGTCAATTTGATATAGGCTAGGGTCACCTGGGAAGAGGGAAACAGAACTGAGAAATTTTTTTGATTAATGATTGATATGAGAGGGCCTGGCTCACAGTAGGCAGTGCGACCTCCAACCAGGTGATCCTCAGTTGTATGAGAGATCAAGCTGTGTCAGCCCATAAGGAGCGAGTCAGCCCATTCCTCTGTGGACCCAGCTTCAGTGCCTGACTTCAGGTTCCTACGTTGAGTTTTTTGTTTGCTTGTTGTTTGCTTTTTTGGGTTTTTTGTTTGTTTGTTTTTTTCTCTGACTTCTCTCAGTATGACCTGGGGGTTATAGGGTAAAATTAACCCTTTTCTCCTCAAGCTGCTTTTGGCATGGTGTTTACCACAGCAATAGAAAACGAACTAAGAAAGGAGGGAAGACGCTCTTCCAGAGTGGGTGGGCCTAGATATAAGGAGGTCAGAAAAGAAAGCTTGTTTTTTTGTCTATGTTTCAGATATTAAAATATAGTTATGCCTGCTTACCCCTTGTTTCCATTTGTTTGGAATACCTTTTTCTTTTCTTTCTTTTTATATTCCAAAGTGCTCTCTGTCCTTGAGGATAAGCTATGTTTCTTTAATGGATACAGTAGAAAGATAGATTCTGTTGTCTAAATTGATTCTATTAGTCTTATGTCATTTTACTGGGGAATTGAGACCATTAATATCAAGAGCTATTTATTAATTCCTGTTATTTTGTTGTGGTGATTATGAACATAGAAAAATTCTCCATAAAAATACTTGCAAAGCAAATCCAAGAAAGAAAAAAAAAACCAAGGGGATGGGGAGTTGGCTCAGCAGTTAAGAGCATGTTCTGCTCTTTCAGAGGACCCAGGTTCAATTCCAGCATACATAAAGGATCACAACCACCTGTAACTCCAGTATGAGGGGATCCATTGCTGTCTTCTGACCCCTGTGGTCACCAGTCATGCATGAGGTGTGTCTTAGTCAGGGTTACTATTTCCTGTGATGAAGCAGCATGACCTAAAGAAACTCAGAGAGGGGAGGGTTTATTTGGCTTACACTTCCACATCACTGTTCATCATCGAAGGAAGTCAGGCCAGGAACTCATACAGGTCAGGAGCCTAGAGGCAGGAGCTGATTGATGTAGAGACCATGAAGAGGTGTTGCTTATTGGCTTGTTCTCACGGTTGCTCAGCCTGCTTTCTTATAGAACCCAGGACCACCAGCCCAGGGATGACACCACCTACAAGGAGCTGGCCCTCCACCATCAATCACTAATTAAGGAAGTGCCCCACAGGCTTTCATAATGGCCCATCGTATGGAGGCATTTTCCCACTTGAGGTTCTCTTCTCCAGAGATCTTTAGCTTGTGTCCAGTTGACATAAAACTATCTAGCACATGGTGCATAGACATACATTCAGGTAAAACATCCATATACAGAAATAATAAAAATTTTTGAAAGAATACATAAAAAGATTATCAACTATGATCAACCCAACTTTATTCTTGAGATACAGAAATGGTTCAGCAAACATAAATCAACAAACATAATCCACTACATGAACAGACTAAAAGACAAATATCATGTGATTGTCTTATTAGATGTAGAAAAGGCTTTTGACAAAATCCAACATCCTTTCATGATAAAAAGTCCTGGAAAGACAATGGATTCAAGGGACATACCTCAATATAATAAAAACTTTTACAGCTAACCACAGGAAACATCATCCCAAACAGAGAGAAACACAAAGTATTTCCACTAAAATCAGGAATAAGAATAGGGTACCCACTTTCTCCATAACTATTTAATAAGTACTTGAAATCTTATCTTGAGCAATAAGACAGCTGAAGGAGATCAAGGGGATACAAATAGGAAAGAAGAAGTCAAATTATCCATATTTGCAGATGATATGAATTTATACATAGAATACCCTAAAGACTCTACCCACCAGAAAGCTTCTATAGCTAATAAATATTTTCTTAAAGTAGCTGAATACAAAATTAACACACAGGAGCTGGAGAGATGGCTCAGCAGTTAAGAGCACTGACTGCTCTTTTAGAAAACTCAGGTTCAATACCCAACACCCACATGGCAACTCACAAGTGTCTGTGACTAACACAGGCATACATGTAGGAAAAATACAAATAAAATAAAATAAAAGTAAATAAGTTATAAAAAATTGACACAAAGAATAAGTAGATTTTCCATATACAAACATCAAATATCCTGAGAAAGAAATCAGGAAAACACTATTTTTTATAATAGCCTCAAAAATATCTTGGAATAACTATAACCAAGTGAAAGACTTGTATAATAAAAACTTTAAGGCATTGAAGAAGACATCAGAAGATGAAAAGTAGGATTAATATTATGAAACTGGCCATACTACCAAGAGCAATCTACAGTTTCAATGCAATCCCTATCAAAATCACTACACACTTCTCTTTGTTGTTGTTGTTAATGATGGTTTTACTTTTACTTTTATATTTTATTGAAAATGAAGTGTTTTTCATACAATATATTTTGATCACAGTTACCCCTCTTTATTTTCTCTTGGATCCTTCCCAACTCCCCACCCTTCCAAACCCACACCTTCTTTCTCTGCCTCCTAAGAGAGAGAAACACACAGCTGACAAAAAGAGAGAATAAAACAAAAGGAACAAATAAGGAAACAAAGAAAGAGCACATGAAGTGAACACACACACACACACACACACAGAGAATAAAAACACAAAATCTGAAACCATAATATAGAAGCAAAAGGTGAGTAATGTTTAAGAAGAATGCCCAGACAAAGCACTATGAGATAAAAATAAAGAGCGAGGGGCAAGGGAGAGAAAATAGAAACACCATTGAGTTTGTTTTGTGCTGGCTATCCACCGCTGGGCATGGGTCTTGCCTTAAATGTTACTTCTATACCCAGTGAGATTCCATTGAAAAAATTAGTTTCCTTCTATCTGTTAAGAGTTGCTTTGTTTCCGTGCTCCCCCATCCAACCTTCCTTCATCCCAATCCTCCCCCTTCCCCAAGCTCCCCCCATTCTCCCCCTCTCCCCCCTCTCTCCCCATCTCCCCTTACCCCCATCCCACCCCACCCCCAAGATCTCAATTTTCTCCCCGGCAATTTTGTCTACTTCCCATAGCCAAGAGGACAACTATATGCTTTTCCTTTGGTTCACCTTCTTACTTAGCTTCTTTGGGATCACCAAGTGTAGACTCCGTGACCCTTGGTTAAGGGAGCCACTTTAGGGTGGGCAAGAGACTTGACCCTAGAGGGGCTCCCTAGTGCCCAAGATGAGGTTCCCAGTTAGTTCCTTGGGCAGCTGAGGATTGGGAACCTGAAATGACCCTATCCTAGAGCAATACTGACGAATATCTTGCATATCATCATAGAATCCTCATCTGGTGATGGATAGAGATAGAGACAGAGACCCACACAGGAGCACTGGACTGAGCTCCCAAGGTCCCAAGGAGGAGCAGAAGGAGGGAGAACATGAGCAAAGAATTTGGGACCACGAGGCGTGCATCCACCCACTGAGACAGTGGAGCTGATCTACGGGGAGCTCACCAAGGCCAGCTGGACTGTGACCGAAAAAGCATGGGATAAAACCGGACTCTCTGAACATGGCGAACAATGAGGGCTGATGAGACACCAAGGACAATGGCACGGGGTTTTGATCCTACTTAATGTGCTGGCTTTGTGGGAGCCTAGCCAGTTTGGATGTTCACCTTCCTAGATATGGACGGAGGGGGGAGGACCTAGGACTTAACACAGGGCAGGGAACCCGGACTGCTCTGTGGACTGGAGAGGGAGGGGGAGAGGAGTGGGGGGAGGGGGAGAAGGGTGGGAGGAAGGGGAGAAGGGTGGGAGGAGGGGAAGGGAAATGGGAGGCTGGGAGGAGGTGGAAACTTGTTTTTTGTTTATGTTTTTTTTTCTTCTTTTCGCAATAAAAAATTAAATAAATAAATAAATAAATAAAGTGAGAATTGATAATGAAAAAAAAAAAGAGTTGCTTTGTTTAAAAGTGTGTGGTCAACTTTCAAGTAAGTTCCCTGAGTTGCTGAGAAGAGGTGTATTCTTTTGTGTTTGGGTAGAATGTTCTGTAAATATCTGCTAGGTCCATTTGAATTTATGACACTCTTTAGTTCCTCCAGCCTTTCTCTGTTTAGCTTTTGTCCGGATAACCTGTCTCTTCAGGAGAGTGAGGTATTGAAGTTACTCTCCTTGTGTTAGGGTCAATGTGACTTTAGCTGCGCTAATGTTTCTGTTATGAACTTGGGTGCCCTTGTGTCTTGTGCATAAATGTTTAGAGTTGCAATAGGCTCCTGGTGGATTTTTCTCTGATAAGCTTGCAGTGTCCTTCCCTATCTCTTCTGATTACTTTTGGTTTGTAGTCTATATTTTCGGGCATTGAAATTGCAAAATCTGTTTGCTTCTTGGGTCCATTTACCTGAAATATCTTTTTCATTCTTTTGCCCCTTCTGAGGTGATGTCTATCCTTGATGATAATGTGTGTTGAAAGATGGATCATGCTTTCTAATCCAGTCCGTTATTCTGTCTTTTTATTGGTGATTTGGGCTATTAATAGTGAGAGTTATCAATGAGCAGTGTTTATAGATTCCTATTTGTTGTTGTTGTTGCTATGGTGTGAACTTTCTCCCATCTTTTGATTTTCTGGTCTGGAATTATTTTTTCCTTGTGTTTTCTTGGGTATGGTTATTCTCTTCAGGTTTTTTCTAGTGCCTTCTATAGAGCTGGATAGGCAAATAGACACTGCTTAAATTGGTTTTATCATAGAATGTTTTACTCCCTCTATGTGGTTGATAGTTTCACTGGGTATAGCAGTCTGGGTTGGCATCCGTGGTCTCTCAGAGTTTGTGGAACATCCGTGAACACCAGGGATGTGTAGAATTGGTGGAGATGGGTATAGTTAGTGGGAGCAATGTAGGCTCTTTGCCAAAATAGATGGAGGACAAAGGCTCTCAACAGGAATGGGTGGGGCTAACTGCCATGGATGGAGTTAGCAGAAAGAGTTTGGGAGTACTATCAGAAGGAGAAGAGGTATAGGAAGTGAAGTGTGGTACTACATCCAGTTTTCTTATGTGAGTTCTGGAGAACAAAGTCAGACTATCAGTATTTCGTGGTGAACATGAGTACTTCTGTCTTGCTCTCCTACCCCTTTCATTTTCTTATCTTTTTTTGAGACAAGATCTCTTTTGTAGTCCTGGTACTTGCTATGTAGACCAGGCTGACCTAGAACTTGCAGGGGTCTGCCTGCCCCTGACTCCTCCCTCTATTAGTATAATATTTTATTTATTCTTTAACATTTCATACATATAAGTAATGTATTATATCCTATCCACTGCTAACTACAAACTCCAATCCCCTCAGGCACCCCTATGGTCCCCACCCACATTCATGTCCTCTCCTTTCTTTTTAAGGGGTCACTGAGTGCAATTAGTGTTGCTTTGTGGGAATGTTGATTGATCTTGATAGCTTGATCTTGTACACAGGTGTCCATAGCTACTGTGAGTTCATGGATGCGACTGCCTTTTCCTATCCAGAAGACAGCATTTCACAATGCTCCTCCCCATCCTCGGGCTCTTACATTCTTCCTCCCCCCCTCCCCACCCCACTGTGTGACTGTATTCCCATGAAGACATAAACAACGTCTCAGATGTGGAACCAATGAGAAACCAAAGTAAGGATACCAACGAAATTCAACTTGGTTAATCAATGAGTTTTATTAGGATTACTAACATAAATATGAGTGAGCGGTCACCTACAAGAGCAGGAGTGACCCAAAAATAGTCATCAGCAAAGCCCCTAAGTGTGGGTCATGACTCAGATATGCAGCTCAGTAAGACAGAGGCTCTGTCTTCCTGGCAGCTCAGTTGGTTTGGGCCATTTCTACGAGGTCTCTGCCTCTTGTAGGCCGTTGGCTAATCTGAGGACATCTCTCAGTATTCCTTATGGCTTATATGTGTTTAGGGTGGGAAATGAATGTTCTCAATTGTAGGAACTTCCTGGAGTTATTGAGTTATACACTTCTTGTGTCTTACTGAGCTTGCCTACAGAATTGGATGTTTCACTGTTCCTTAGAATATCCTGTGTCTTAATGAACTTCCCTCCAAAAGAGAAAGTTTTATTTCGGAGGAAATTACTGCATGATACCTCCTTTTTTGCAGTGTTCCTTGAACCTTGGGAACACTGTGTCTTACGTGCCCTGGTTGATGTATGTGTCCCATTTAGGGCTGAGTAGTCAACAGTCGATCTCAGTACTGTCAGCAGTATGAGCCTCTGAACTAACTGCTGACTTCAGAGAGAAACTTCTATAGCCAAGGTTGAGGGCAGCACTAACCTGTGGGCATAAGTACAAATACTTACAACGTTTTAAAGATTCATTTTTAACTATGTGTCTCTGTGTGGATATGTGAATGTGGGTGTGGCTGGGAACAGAAAACAAAAGAGGTTGTTATATCCTCTGGAACTGTAGTTACGGGAAGTCGTGAGCTATCTGATACAGGTTCTTGGAACCGTCAGTCATCTGTAAAAGTAACAGAAGTTACTAATCATGAAGCCATCTTTTCAGCCCCCATATTATTTAGAAAGCAGATCGACAACATTTCCACTTAACAAGGCAACTCTAGTATGTTCCCCCACCACCATAGGGCCTATGACCTCCTTAGCCATGAAGTCTTGGCCAGGTTTACAGGATGAGGCATGAGCTATTTTCTGTGGATAAGGCCTCAAATCCAACCCCAAAATAAATGGTTACCCCCATAACCACTGTGCCTCTGTTGCACCAGTAAGCACACCTCGCCTGGCAAGTCGGTATTGTCGGTAAAAGGCTTACCACGGAACAATACCATTCATAGATTTTTCTCTTCCAGTCGCCTAACGAGCAGCTTCTGGCATTGTGAAAGTCAACCAGCAGAGAAGAAGCTTTTAGGTCAGTTCCAGTTTGATTTCTCTAGGTCCAGCCAAACTGTGTTGTGACTTTAGCAGTACTAACCTTCACCCTCTAAGGCCCCTTTGCTCCTCCTCTCAGGGGTCTTTTCTAGCTTCCTGAACTCTATAGACAGTCCAAGTCAGATACATAAACCTAAAGATTCGTAGGTAGGATCCACATATGGTGTGTGTCTTTGGGGGCCTAGGTCACCTCACTTAGTGTAACCTTTTCCAGTTCTATCTGTTTTCCTGAAACTTTCACAATTTTATTTGGCTTCTGTAGACTGCTAAGAAAAATGTGTGCTCAGTCGTGTTTGGATGGGTTGGTTTATGGACGTCTCTTAAATTCGTTCACTCTATGGTGACATTTAATCCAGGTATTTCTCTTCATGTTTGTCAGGATAGTCTGTCAGCTGTCAAGAGTAGGGTATAGAGATAACCTAATCCTACGGTGCTGGAATTAATCTGTGGCTTTGTCTGTAGCCACACTTGTCTTCTGAAATGGGATGTGCCTGTGTTTGGGCATTTATGTCCCCTTAGTGGATTGCTCCATTAGTCAGTAGGAAGTGATCATCTTTATCTTGTCTTACTAGTTTTGTTTTGAAGTCTGTTTTGCCAGATATACCTGCTTAGTTCCTGGGTCCATTTTCTTCGAATCCCAACTCTTTTCTTCCTTTTGCTCTAAGGTAACATCCGTCTTTTGCAGAGAAGGGCATTTCAACGCAACAAGTAGGTGGCTCTGCTCTTTGATTCTGTCTACTAGAATGTGTCTTTTGATTGGGTAATTGAGACCATTAATATTCAGTATTTTTATTAAATTTTTTTTATTAATTTCCACCATTGTTGGTTTTGTGGTGTTTGGGGTTTTTTTTTCCCCTTCTTCTTCTTTTGCTTAACTATTACTCTAAGTAAGGTTTATTATTTCCTGTGGCCTTGAGGGTAGATTTGTTTTTCTCTTCAGGCTGGAAGATTGCTCCAGTATTTTCTGCGGAGCTGGCTTAGTGGTCATAAATTCCTTTGGTTTATTTTTATCATGGAAAGTTTTTTATTTTTCCTTCAATTATGACACATGGTTTTGCTGGGTATAGTAGCCAAGGCTGGCAACTGTCTCTCAGAACTTGAAATATATCATTCCAAGCTTTTCTGGACTTAAAGTTTCAGTTGAATAATATGATGTTATTCTGATGAGCCTGCCTTTGTATATAAAGAAGTGTTTTTCCTTTGATGTTTTCAGCATTCTCTCTGTGTTCTATACAGTTAGTGTTTTAACTGTGTTATGATGAGGTCTTGTCTGTTTGACATCCTAAACGTCTCCGGCATGTAAATTGATGTCTTTTCCTAACTCTGAGAAATTTTCTGCTGTTAACCTTTTGAAAAGGTTATGCCTTTAGAACAAGAGTCTTCTTCTATACCTACAACACAGTGTGGTGTATATATTGGAATTCCCACTGCTACTTGCTTATGACTTT